AGCTAAAAATAAGTAGAATATCACTAAATGGAGATGAAACCAATATAAACTAAAAAAAAACTTTAACTGAACTAAAAGCACAACAGTCACAGTTGAAGAAGCTTCATGAGGAGAAAAAGCACATGAGATCCGATGATAAAACAATCAGATCTTCATAATGGCTCCTCTCAGTAACCAGGAGACCAGACTTTGACTGGAGGCCAGATCAATATTTGGAGCCATTTGAGTGCAAACAGAGTTATTGGGAAACAGCATTCCTGTCATTCACGTACACCGACACACGAGAATAAATCCTCAGAAGCCCCTCAGGCTGTTTCTGCCACCTTTAATGGGTTTAATGCCAGAAGTTCTTCAAATCTCTCTTCCAGGCTTATTCTAGTAGAACTATATGATCTTATTTAATCCACCGGGACTTTAGATGCTGATAACCAGGATATACGACATGACTTATCGGGCATTTTCACTTGTTCTTGCTTTTTTAAGCTTCTCAACCGTCTGCAGCAGGACAGCAGGTAAGCTAGTGAAGTTCATAGATTAATTAATTTATCCAACATTGAAATCAGTGGATATTTAATGAAGATGCAGAAGGTTTTAATCAGTGTAAACTCTTCTGTTGCTCCTTTATCGGGTTGATCTTACAGTTTTAGTTCAAGAACAGAACATTTATCTAAAGAGGATATTTTATTGAATCAAAGATAAACCTCCAAGAAAATGGTGTCTTCAAAGAACAGGGAAATATGGAACATTGTTATTTCCAATAGTGTGTTCAATAAGTATTAATATAACTTAAATGCAAAGTAAAACTATGAAATAAGGAATATAGTGGAGTGGCAGCATAGTGGTCCGGGCATAGAGTTTGGAATCCTGAGGTTGTGAGTTTGAGCCCCCCTCCCACAGCCTGCCACTCTGGGTCCCTGAGCAAGACCCTTAATCCCCCACTGCTCCCCAGGCGCCGCACAGTGGCAGCCCACTGCTCCCCAAGGGGAGGGGTTAGATAACAGGGAATGACAACAAATGTTGAATAAGAATATATTCATCATAAAATAATTTAGCATCTATTGTAAAAAAGAAAAAGAAAACACAAAAAATGAAAATACATTTTTCCCTTTTGTAATTTTAACAATTACCTTTTATTTCCCGTTTGAATGAAAGGAAATAAAAACTAATTTAGCAATATTTAGATTCCAAACAGCTGGTTTTTTCTGAAACACAGGAACGAAGCTCTGTTTTTTTATCATTTAGTTTCATCGTCACAAGAAATA